TGAGCCTGTGTGGGTGCAGGGGGGGCTCTAGCGGCAGCCGTGCATGTGTGTGAGTGTGTGTGGGTGCATGGGGCCTCCCAGGAGGCGCCTACAGCATGTATGTGGGGGAGCAGAGTGACATGATTCCTGTGTGCTGGACCCCCACTCACCATTTGTCTCATCCGGGCCACTGCCTGCTCCACTGGGCTGCAGCTGTGCGTGCTGGAAAGAAAACAGGCCCAGCCTTGACCCTTGGGGAACTCCCGGCAGGGGGGGAGGCCATGCCGGGTTGGGTTTGTAAACGGTCACGGAGGTGCAGAGGGGCAGGGGGACTTCCTGTGGGGTAGTGCAGCTTTAGAGGGGTGCAGGGGTGCCCCTTCCAGGGTGCAGTCACATGACGTGCCGCCTGAGGTCGAGGCCTGGGGTCTGGGCCGGGGCAGGAGCGGGTGTGCAGGTCCCACTGGGGCCTTTGTGCTGAGGCCTCTGGCAGACGGGAGACCTTCAGGCCTACCCTGCTGGGACGGTGTTCTCGTCAGCTCAGCCATATAACCTTTCACATTTGGCTCCTGTGGGGGGGCCTGAGCGCACGTGCATGTGTTGTGATCCCCTGCTTCCACCTCCTGTGTCTGTGACCAGACAACCCCTCTGGCTGCTCTTTCAGACAAGGCGTGTTACCCATGTGTGGCAGAGCCCAGGCCCCTTCTGACCCAGCCTCTTGAGCAGCTGGGACCACAGGCACCAGCCAGGGTGTGGGCTTTCGCTTGGACTCTGTTGGAATCACCCAGCCTTGTGTGTGACCAGCTGCCCAGCGGCCCTGTCCGCATTGCTGCTATAGCGGGACCTCCAGATACATCTTTTTTAAATAACAGATTGATTGAGGCCAACAGATGGCACAGCGGTTAAGGTGCTGGACTCTCTCATGGCCAACCACGATTTGAGTCCTAGACCTGGTGGACTGAAACTCTACACCAGGCGCATGTGCATGCGTGCGTGCCCAATATCCCGAGAGGGGAGTGGAGGAGCAGGAATTGCGGTGTGGCCCTCCCCCCCGGGGTGACAGCTCACTTTCTCTCTCTCTCTGTCTCTCTGGCGAACTCACATGGCCTATAGCAAAACTCTATCTTACAAAATAAAAAATAAAAATCCCTATAGCTTTATTGCGCTATTGTTCACATATGAATTCACTTTTTTAAAGTGAATAATTCAGAATCGTGCAACTAACACTGCTGTCTGATTTGGAGCCATCTTAGCACCCTGTGCTTGCCGCAGGACCTCGCCTGTCCCTAGGTTCCCTGGGATTGACCTTGTGGGTTAATATCCAAAAAAGATTCAATTGCTCAGTTTTGTTGAAGGTCTTACTTTGAAGTCTGCATTTCCATTTACAACCAGAATTGTGAAAGAAGGAAATCTCCTTTAGGAAAGGACTCAGTCATCCTGGATTAAGAGGTTTTTAAGTTTTTAACGTAGGGCACGTGCACTTGCCGGAGAGAGACAGTGAGAAGGAAAGAGAGAACCCCCCCCCACGGGGGGGATGGCCAGGCCACAGTCCCTTCTCCATTCTCCTCCTGGGATTTTGGGCATGCACGCACATGGGCCCGGTGTGAATCTCAAGCCACCAAGTCTGGGACTTGAACAGTAATTGGCTATGTGAGAGTCCAGTGCCTCAGCCTCTACGCACCTGCTGGCCCCCAAGAGGATACTGCTGCTGTCGTTACTACTTGTAGTTAGTAACAGTTCCGGTTACTGCCTGCTCACCGGGGGAAGGATATGGTGGGTGTCCGTAGCTGCTGTGTGTGACCCAGCAGGGACACTGGAGACGTACATGGTCATCCTGGGATGGATGACAGTCTGCAAGAGAGCAGGTCTTTTCTTTTCAGGCGTTGTCCTGAAAATAGTTAAAATGTTGTCTTTTAACTTAAAATGCTCTTATTATATGTCTTTGCATTGATAACATGATCGGTGTACACACAGGCGAAATATTGTGTCCCTGAAATTATAAACACGGAGTGACATACATGGAACATTCAAATCAGTACCGGAAATCCCAACGTTCTATGTCAACATTTGTTGTCGCAATGTGATTCCTTGAAATCATTCTAACACAGGCTTTTATTGTTTTTAGGGGTTAGACCTTTTGCTTGTCCTCACTGTGACAAAAAGTTTCGAACCTCAGGCCACAGGAAGACTCACATTGCTTCCCACTTTAAACATACGGAGTTGCGGAAGATGAGGCACCAGCGTAAACCCGCCAAGGTGCGTGTTGGCAAGACGAGTGCTCCAGTCCCCGATATCCCTCTGCAGGAGCCAATCCTCATAACTGACCTAGGTAAGGGGCTGTCGGTCCTCACGGTCTGTTGCCTCCCTCCCATTCCTTGGTTCCTCGCAGAGGATGTATGCGTAGGCAGGTCTACGCAGCTGGATAGCTTTAGGCATGGGGTCAGTGAGTCTCTGAAGCACTGTTTTGATGGATCTTCCAGTATGTCCCACATTGAAAATCCTGGTTATACCTAAACTACTGTTCACATTGTGTTCCTGGTTTGGAGAGAAATAATGTGTAGGTGAATATAGTGCCAGGGGACTTTGAAAAGTTTGTGGAAAAATGGAATTAAAGTATGAGTTTATTTTGGTCCAGAGTTTTTGAAATCCCAAAGATTTTCATATTCATTATCCATAAATTTTTTGAAAACGCCCAAGTAAAAACTTCCTCTTTAAAGACCACTTCTGCCTCAGTGGAACCATCAAGGGTAACAAGTGGTTTTTACGTAAAACCTACACACACGGTGTTGTTTTAACCTTATATTCCCACCTGGATACAATCTGGGCTTCTTTAATCTTCAGATTAATAAAGAAAAACCTGCCCGCTTTTAAGTTTTTTTAGTCAGTGTTTCTAATCATTATAACTATAATTTTGTTAATGACCTAGAAAGAAAGTACTGCTGAGTAGACTCTTAAAATAATGATTTTTGTGAGTTCTAGGATAAAACTGAAGATAGCTCATTACCTTAGTCCATTGGGCTGCTGTGACCCAAACAGCACAAGCTGTATCCATGGGCGCTCCTGAGTAGGAGCTGATTTCCCGCGGTTCTGGAGGCCAGGCAGTCCATGGTGGAGGTGCTGGCAGCAGGGCTCTGTCCTCACACAGCGGAGCGCAGGGGCCTGATCCATGCGTGTGCTGATGCTATGCAGAGGGGCTCTGCCCCTGTGACCTGGTTACCTCCCAAAGGGCCTCTGTCCCATGACTATTGCACTGGGAACTAGGTTTCAGCATTCAGATTTGGAGGGGAGGGTACAAACGTTTGGTCAATAGCAATCACTGTGTATTTTGTGTGAATTTAAGTTCTTATGCAATTTCTGTTACTTCCTAGGCAAGATAATCCAGTCTGTAAGCAAAAGTAATTAACAAACTGTAATTCAGTGTAAGTAAAATTTAATAGTGCATGGAGAGATCGTTTAGCTGGATGGAATTATATACCACTAATAAGGTGATCAGCAGTCATAAAGTTTCACGTATCTAACGTGAAACTATATAAGCCAAAAACAACTAGAAGAAAGGAAATATCCAGACTTCAGGTATGAGGAAACCTAAGGAAATTTGTGGAAAGTAGAATTAAAGTTTGAGTTTCTTTTGGGGCAAAAAGAAATTTGAAATCTATTCATAGTTTTTTCGTAATATGCATTTTCCATGAACTTTTGAAGAGCCCTTGCACAGTGAGAGAGCCTTAGCTCAGTTTAAATGAACACAGTAGTGGGACCAGCAGGTGGTATAATGGCCACCACATCTGGTGGCTGGCTTTCTCGCTCTCCTGAGCTCATGTGCCCTATATCACATTTAAAGATATATATACTCATAAATAAGATTAAATTAATAATTAAAATAAAAACACAGTAAGCTAAAAATTTGAGCACAGATATAAAAAGGGTGGTTTATTAGCTTTTACCTAATACATAACACTCCTTTAAATATGCAAGAAACAGGCCGGTCACATTCTGGGGTACAGAAAAGCTTCCATACAGTCTTTAAAGTTGATATTGTACAGAATACAACCTTTAGTTACATTTCAGTGAAAGCATACATAATAGAAAATAGCTATCCAAAATTTAGTCACATGGAGAGGAAGGAGCCAAAACTGCAGTTGATTACCATAACGGGAGGGTTACATAGGCAGCTTGGATAGACCAGATCTGTGTGCAGAACCAATTATGGCTTTTTATTATTTCTTATTATGAAGTAAGAAAGAATGAAGATGAATGTTATTCAAGTCAAAAAGCTAGGAAAAGAAAAGGAATAGCTGTAAGAGACCAGCAGTTAGCATAATGGCTGTGTTGCTGGCCTCCCATGTAGTTGAGCACTGTTTGCGTCCCGGACCCGGTGGCTTAAACTCATGCTGGGCACATGTGCGTGCGTGCCCAAGATCCCGAGAGGAGAATGGAGGAGAAGGGATTGCGGCATGGCCGTCCCCACGGGGGATGATTTCTCGCTTTCTGCCTCTTTGTCTTTCTGATAAGCGCACATGCCCTATAGCAAAAACTTCTCTCAAAAAAAAAAAAGGAGTAGCAGTAAGGAATTAATACAGATGAAAGATTTTAAGATAGAAGACAGAATTCTAATGAAAGTAATTTTATAAAACTTGCTAAAAAAGGAACAACAAATAGATGACTTGTCTTTAAAAAACCGAAGAGAAAATAAGAAAACATTAGGAATGAGAGAAATTATAAGCGTAGATACAAATGAGACAATTATTTGCAAATACTCTTAACTTTTCTCTAAAGCATTTGAGAATTTCTTATAGATAAGCGGGTGTTATTTAGAATAATCTCTTGACTCCAGACAGAATTGAAAACCCAAAAACATAACAGATCGACGAGGTAGCTAAAGGTTGTCATCTCCACGTTTCCAGCCTCTGATGACTTTCTCTGTGACTTACCACCCCGCCTAGGCACTGTAATTATTACAGATTTAACTGCTCCAGAGCACAGTGACCGGGACTCCCGCGTAGGTTAGACTTGTTTGATGTCCTTGTCAAATTTCGGAAACCAGCAGACCCGTCTCCCTTTCAGCTTGCCATGATGAAGCACTTCAGGGCGTCTTGACCTCAAGTCTGTAAACTGCTGGTTGAGTTAGAGTCCGGATTTTCCCAAGTGTTCCAGGATTAAAATGGGACACACATTGCTGTTCGGTTGCACGTAGGCCTGCATTGGAGACTCAGTGAGTGGAAGCTGAATTCTCCTTGGTTTTAGACTGTGAGATACATGAGGGAGTGCTCCCCAGAGGCCGCTGACGGTGAAACGTGAGGTGTTAGGCTGACTTCCTGTCAGGCTGCGTCTCGGGTCACGTTGTGTGCGGCTCTTCTCAGCCTCAGTGCTCCGCGGGCTGCGGGACAGACTCGGGTGTAACCTGGGGAGACAGGTCGGTGAGAGCACGAACGGGTGTTTGCGTGGAATAGCTAGGACTAATGAACTGAACCGGGCAATGGTGGTCATCAGGAAAGTCATGACATATTTTTCTATGTAAAAATGCATCAGGTCTTTCCCGACGACCCGGTAGAATTATGCGATTCAGTGTCATTACTTAAAACACAATGTTTTATACCAGGACTGTCATTTACAAAGCGTTAGAATGCATTTAAGACTTGACCAAGCAGGCACTGGGCGGAGATGCTGTGGTAGAATGTACTGCCCTGTGAGGCTTGCCCTGTGGTTCTGGTTTGTGTCCCAGGGTCTCCCTGAGCATGCTGGGCACGCACATGTGCCCATGAGCAAGGCTGGTTGAGGCTGAGGGTTGATGATGGCATCAGGGCCCTATTAGGGAAGCTGTCTCTGTCCCTCTCAGCTTAGAGAGTACCTAGTGTACAGTACTTACAGGAATAAACAAAGGATTTCAAATCTTGATTAACTTAAATTCTGAACACAGTTGTGTAAATTCCATGTGGAAATCATAACGTTAGGGACCAGCAGATGGTGTAATGGCTACATTGGTGGACTCCCATGTAGCTGACCGTGGTTCGAGCCCTGGACCTGGCAGCTTAAAACTCACTGTGGGCGTATATACATGCATACCCAAGGTCCTGAGAGGAGAACGGTGTAGGAGGGGTTGCGTCATGGCTATCCTGCTTGGGGGGTGAGGCGGATTTCTTGCTTTCTGTCTCTCTGGCGAGCACATGTGCCTTATAGCAAAAATCTCTTAAAAAAAAAAAAAAAAAAGGAAGAAATTGTAAAATCATCCATAGTATCAAGGGAGCAATTGTGACAGTAGAGGTGTTTCTCTTGTTGAAAGTTGGGACCAGCAATTGGCATAATAGCTATGTCGCTGGACTCCCATGAGGTTGACCGTGGTTCGAGTCCCAGACCAGTGGCTTAAATTCACGCCAGGGGCATATGCATGTATGCCCAAGATCCTGAGAAGAGAATGGAGGAGAAGGGATTGCAGCATGGCCATCCCCCTAGAGGGGTGATTTCTCACTTTCTGTCTCTGTCTTTCTGGCGAGTGCACACGCCCTATAGCAAAAACCTCTCCAAAAACAAACAAACAAACAAACAAAAAAACAAAGTAGGTTATATTGACTTGTATATGTTTAGTTGTAACACAGTGATCTATATTTTAACTCATTAGAATTTCCGTTTCTGGGTAGAGCAGATGCCTATGACATTCGATTTTATTGGTAGAACTGACAGTGCATTATTTCTGCTTTTCTTTTGGTTGTAGGTCTTATCCAGCCCATTCCAAGAAATCACATTTTCCAAAGTTATTTTAATAATAATTTTGTAAATGAAGCAGATAGGCCGTACAAGTGCTTTTACTGTCATCGTGCATATAAAAAATCTTGCCACCTTAAACAACACATCAGGTAAGGTAGCATAGCTCCAGAGATAGAAATGTGATGTAATTACAGGGATTTAGTGGTCTGGTGACTTCTAGAAATACGGAGTGTGGTGGTGGTAGCTTTTGGGACTTAAAATATCAAATTCGATCCCAAAATATTTACTGGCTATTGATAATTTTCATTCTTTAATGTCTTGACTAAATTATTTTACCTAGAAATTGCCACTGAATTTTATTTACATTCCTCTTACATTTTACTATTAATATTTGCAATTTCCAGGAGATATCAGAGAAGTGCTTGGTCTGTTTTGTTAGGATGTGCTTTAAGGTTTTCAAGTGCCTTGCTCAGAGTTTAGCTTAATTCTCGGCTGGGAAAACAGTGACAAGAAGGGTGAAACCCGGTCTTGAGAGGCAGTGCCTGCCACCAGGAGCGCTCAGAGCCGGGAGGAGGACTTGGGTTCTGGCACCGTTGCCGGGTGCGGCTCTGTGACTGCAGGCCAGTCCTTCCTCGCCTGTGCCTCAGATTTTCTCATTCCTAAGAAAGGTAACGAGCAAGTGAAATAAGCAGGAAGCGTGCATTCAGGTTGTACAGGTCTCAGAGGGTAAGAAACGTGCTCATCACCTGCTCGTCCTTCTCAGGTCACATACAGGGGAGAAGCCTTTTAAATGCTCTCAGTGCGGGAGAGGCTTTGTCTCTGCGGGCGTGCTCAAAGCACACGTCCGCACGCACACGGGGCTCAAGTCTTTCAAGTGTCTCATCTGTAATGGAGCCTTCACGACGGGTGGGAGCCTGCGGCGGCACATGGGCATCCACAATGACCTCCGCCCCTACATGTGCCCCTACTGCCAGAAGACGTTCAAGACCTCGCTCAACTGCAAAAAGCACATGAAGACCCACAGGTAGGTGTGAGCCCGACGGCCCCTTCTTCCCTACCTGTGTGATTCCCAGAGGGTGATAGGGAAGGGAGTGTTTTTAAGAAGCAATTGCCTTTAATTCCTATGTCATCATTTCTAACTTGGACTAAGTTTGAAGCATCAGTGTCTAGAGCCATCGACTAAAGCATTGGCATTTTTATTTTTTTATTTTAAAGTTTATTTCTTCCATGAGATAGAGACAGAGATACCGAGAGACAGAGACTCCCAACAAGGTCTTCGTGCCTGTCTGACGCGAGCATCGGCTGGTCTGGGTCAGGGTCACGTGTGCACACACCTGGTAGGCTCAGGAGGGCTTGGGATGTGAACCCAGGACCTTTCCCAGGCTGGTGTAGCTGTGCCGCCGCTGGCTCTGCCTGGCCCCAGCGTGTCAATGTTCTGCTTTTAGTTCTTTAAGTTTGCTGTCGGGGGTGTGCTAAGTGGCGAGTGAGAAGAAAGCACTTTCCCCCAGCGAGGTGGGGCAGGATGCCACGCAGTGGTGCCTTCTCCTCTGTGCTCTGATTTTAGGCACGAGGATACACATACCCAGAGCGTTGTTCCTTTTAGAGATGTTTTAGCTACAGGGCGTGTGTGCTTGCCAGAGACACAGAGAGCAATAGAGAGACAAAGCAAGAAATCACCCCCAGGGAACTGGCCGCTCCGTAAGCCCTTCTCCTCCGTTCTCCTTTCGGGATCTTGGGCATGCACACACATGCGCCCGGTGTAGTTTGAAGCTGCCAGGTCTGGGGCTCGAACCAGTTGAGTCCAGTGATGTGACCATTCTATCATCTGCTGGTCCACCAGAGTGTTTTCAAGCCACTGGGTCAGGGACTTGAACTGTGCATCTGGCCATGTGGGATCCAGCTTCTTGAACCACCATGCCATTGGCTGACCCAGCATTTTCATTTTTTATTGACGTAGTCTATATGGGGCTAAATGCTCTCCAAGCTCACTTTAAAGCCGACCGTCAATGAATAGGGAAGGTCTAGGTGGTGTACAGTGCAAACCTTAGGCTCCCATGATTCCAGGCCTGGCCGTGGTGAGCCTGAATCGTACCTGCGCTGTGTGGTTGGCTCAACCCCGTGAACCCCTCATGCCGTCTACCTTGAACTTTTACCTGGCTGGGGGTTGGCCCTGTGCTGTACTGGAGAGTGCAGAAGGACGCCGTGTCCTGGGGCGGGGAGGAAGGCTCCCTGGGCCTGCCCTCGGGTTTTGGTGCTGTTCTACAACACTGGCTTTCAGGCAGCAGTTTTACCCAGGTGTGTCTACTGCCCAAATGTTAGAAAACATTCGCTGCAGTGAATCATTTTTCTGACAGAGTTGATGTGCATGCCTGAGCACACTTGAGAGTGGGCTTCTCTCACTCCCGCGGGGTAGGTTGCTTAGCCGAGGAGTTACCTGCTGCCTGAGACCGCCTTGGGCCTGTCGCACGGGTCCGTGGGACCCCCGTCAGTTCCACACGCGTCAGACTTCGTCTTTCATGGGCGATCCATGTGCTGTGCATGGATTCGGCACTGGGCACGCGTGTTGGCCTGTGTCTCTGGTCACCGTAGGGACGGCGGGTCCCAGTTGGCCTTGAGCTGTCGGTGCAGGCAAGACGGCAGTCTGGACGCCAGCTCGCCCAGTGGCATGTTTACTGTTTTGCTCAGTTGGGGAGTGAGGCCTCTAGGATGTTCCACTGCCTAGTGCCTGCAGCGTAGGTGTCATGTCGCTGTGAGTGTACCCATGGCCAGTGGTGTCGTGCAGGGTCACCTTTATGGAGTGGGCATCCGTCATGGTCACGCTGAGGGACACACGCAGAAGGTCACTGTCTGACTTGGAGGTGACGGTCTGCACAGTGCATGCTGTCGGACTGCAGACTGGTGCTTCGTGAGGTCCTCTAGAGCGTCTGTCACTGCCTGCAGGGGACGAGCAGACCCAGCACTTCAGCCTCTGCTCCAGGTATGGGCAGTTCCCAGAATGCCCCACACTTAGGTCACAGAACACAGACAGGGCACCACAGCGGAGTCGTGGAGGAGAGCCAAGCAAAGACGCCAGCAGAAGCTGTGGAGTTCCAGGACACACGTGTCTACAGGATGGGGGGCACATGCCGGCACGCTGCCGCCTTGCTCGGGGGAGCCACGTGGCAGAGGCACTGTTGGAGCGTTTTCGCTCTGGAGTCGAGATTGGACTTCCATAGCAGCAAGTGGAGGAGAGCGCTTGTGTAGTAGAGCGGAGGTCTGCGTCCACAGGTGCCGGCCCTGCTGCTGCTCAGTGTCCTCCCTTACGCTCCCGTCCCCACCCTCCTCCTGCACTGTCTGCAGAGCCCACAGCCGTTGCCAGTGCTTCTACATCCTTGCTATTCATGCTAGAAAAAGCAACGTCATACACTGTGAAGATATATATGATTAGATGTAAATTTTAAAATTTCAGAAAAGAAAAAAAGAATCAAATTCCAAATAGGCAGCTTTATAAAGGGCTGGACTCGAACCTGTGACAGTGTGGATGGCTCAACCATGGACATGCTAGTGACAGTGTGTATGGCCCGACCACAGACACCAATGACAGCGTGGATGGCCCGACCACGGACATGCGGGTGACAGCGTGGATGGCCCAGCCACGG